TAGGAAATAAAAATTAATTCTCAAAAATTGAAAAATAATAATTATTTTTCGCTAAAAATATTTTTATCGCTCAACATTCCTTTAAAGAGCCTGAAACTTTTATCTAGTCTCATATTCTTTTATTATAAAACACCACCCTTCATAAGCAATAGAAATGGCAATCGTTGTCCCTATCCCTTCCTCAATCACAGCTACAAATGCAAACACGGCTGCAGCTGGTTTGTCGTTTGCCTCATTTTTTTTTCTTTTTTTGGTGAACTTGGGGACGCCAATTATCAAGGCAATTTATATCGCGAGTTATCAATCAACCGTCGGTAAAATAACCACGAGAGTTATATTTGGAGTGTATGGAGCTTGTGTAGAAGCATCCGGTCTGACTGGCAGTGGCTACATATGCGCTTCGAGTACTGGTACTGCTTATTCTACTTCAGCCGGCGGTACAAGATTTTTGTTGTCTATGCATTCTATTGGTAATGTGTTTATTATTAATTATATCGATAAAATATGGATTATATCATATATGATAAATTAATTAATGATTGTTGTTTTGAATATATTTTTAGGTGTAATAACATCATTTATGTTGTTTTCCGCCGGAATTTATACTCGTAGTCATCAAATTGTATATAAAAAAGCGACATGGGCCGTCGCATTATTCAGTTCTTTTATCATTATGTTAGCAATGGCAGGACAAATTGACCATTTTTTAAGACTCAAAAGGCTGTTTACTCGTTTTGGTGGTATTGATGATACTGTGAGTCTTGGTGCCGGTGGATTTATTCTTGTGTTTATATCTTTCATAACCTCACTCTTGGCAGCGTACGCATTTTACGTTGGAGAACAACGAGGGGAAAGTGACACCAATGGTTCCAACTATAACAACTATAACGGAAATATGAGCACGGGAATGACCAATCAGCAACCCCATTATCCTCAATCTTATTCCACTCCACAAGCGTCCCAACCTTATTCAAATCCTCAACCTTATTCAAATCCTCAACCTTATCCAAGTCCTCAATCTTATCCAAACAATCAATCTTATCCGCCTCAACCTTATTCAAATCCCCAACCTCATCCAAACAATCAATATTAATTTTTCATAATAATCATCAAAATGTTAATTAATTTAGTAAAAATGTATAAACATTATCATTAATATATTTTATATAAATAAAGTTTTATAATTAGAAAAGTCATGGCTATGCTTAGCCTTTATAACCAAAGCTGGTCGCATGTAAACTCTTAATATATAGCCTTGATTGCAGTTTTTGAATATAATGTACAAAATAAATAAAAAAATAAAAAAATGCATTTTTTATACTATTACACTGTACTAGGTACTTAAAAATACGAAAAGTAGTATTAGAACCAGCGAGGAATAATTTTGTTAGCATTTTTCAATATGCTTTCCGTATGGTACTTTTTGTACATGAAAAAATGCATTCTAACACACAGAAAAATCTACTCTATGCCATTTCTGCATGTTTGTGTATTGGAAAGTTTATTTTTCATATAGTAATATTAGTATGTATAATTTTTTACATATAAGATGAGATGCATTAAAAAAATTGCATCTGTGGGTTGTCCAATAATTATAAAACACTAGTCTTGACTAGTGATGTTAGCCGGCTAAGAAATTTATCGGCTTAGCCGGCTTACACGGCTCAGCTGGCTAAGAAATTTTTAAACGGCTTAGCCGGCTTGAGCCAATCAAATTCCATTCTCAAAAATAATAAAAAATATTCATTCATTTGTAATGCCGCCAAAAAAGGAAAAGAAAACTAATGCACAAAATAAGCAATTAATTAGTTCCAACACTCATAGCAAAGCAAATTCTTGGTCTGGTGGGTCATTGCATAACAATATTAACAATGGGTTAAATAGCAGTAGTAATATTAATAGTATTAGTAGTGGTAGTAGCAATATTAATAATTGTATTAGTAGCAGTAGTAGTAATAATCGCAGCAATGATAATAATAGTAGTAATGATAATAATAGTATTAATAATAATGAAACATTTGATTATGATAAGTTAAATAGCAATAGTATTTGTAGTAATAATAATATTAATATACTGTTTTTGAGAGAAAATTATAAACTTTTTGATCAATAAGTTGATTAATTTTTTTAATTTTTATATTAATTAATTTTTTATTATGTTTTAATTGAATTTTTCAATAAGAATAGAATAAATAATTCATTTGATCAAATGTTAGCTGGCTAGAATTTTTTACCATATTCATCAGCGTGAAAATGAATTTCTATATTAATACTAAAAATTTTTGGAAACAAAATTCTAATTGGCCAATTTAAATTTCACGCACAACGTTTAGTAAAATAATAAAAAACCCCGATTTTTAATGAATTCATACAAAGTATTAGTATGTTATTTGTCTACTAAATTATTAGATAAAAAATTTATTCAAGTTCTTAGCCGGCTAAGCCGTTTATTACCTAATTTGGTAATTTTATTTCCATAACCAGAAGATAACGCGGAAATCTATTACCAAATTTAGAAATTATGTATGCAGATTATTAGCCGGCTTAGCCGGCTAAGGTTTTTCTACCGGCTAACATCACTACTTCCACTATGCTTTCAAACCCCTTTTTCTCAAAATGACAAAAAAAAAAATTCACTGATTTTCTCAGATGATGTCCCATATCTAAGAAGGTATCAGTATTAAATTGGTTAGCATCTTTCTTACTTTGTATGTACTGAAAAAATTGAATAGATACAGGTAAAAATAACAACCCAAAGTGTAGTAAACAAAAAATTTGTTTTAATGTATTGATTGTCATTTTCTTCAAAAGATAGACCAATGATCTAGTTAAGTAATGTACCTCTGGTGTGAGTTCATCCGGAAAATATAAAAAAATTTTACATGTGTCAATTGTAAGTTTAATAATAAAAAAGTGTAAAACTTACAATATTACGTCGGCATCATAAGATTTATGCAAGTTTACACTAAATTAATTTCCTGATGTTATACTGCTACATTCAACTAATTGTTTGTCTCAGATAAGGGGATTTTTGTCATCCCTTACAATAAGTGCAGGAAAAATTTCAAATCTGAAAATTATTACATAAAAGTATGATCCAAAGTAATGCACAAAAGTGTGATTCAATTTTTTGATATACTAATACATAAAGTGATACATAAAAGTATAATCCGATTTTTAATATAATGTATCCAATTTTTATAGTGATACACCAAAGTGCAAACAAATTTTTTGATCCAAAGTAATATGCAAAAGTATGATCCAGCAAATTTTTTGATAGTAAAATGACAAAGCATAGGTTGATTTTTTGACATGAAAAAACTCAAAAGCATCAACTATATGTGAAAGTGTTCCAGGACCACAAAACATACCATACTTTTGGTGATATACACAAAGGTAGAATAATATAAGAAGTAAGAAAAATTGTGCTTTTGTGTATCACCAAGTAGGGATAGCAGAGCTAGTGTTTCTGACACATAACAATTTGGCACTATGTGCCTCACCCTCAATCAGTAATCAATGTATCATGCAAAGTCAGGTCATGAATACTATTTTGGCACTTTGTGCCTCATCCTCGAATTCAAATGCAACATGCAAGGCCAAAATACAGATTGCCCCTTGCAATCAAAAAAGTTGGCAGTTCACCTAGGAAATGTGGTATTATTTATAGTAGTATAGGAGATTCTATTTTTTACAAATTAGTTTTTTTGGTCCAAAGTGGGGGGATAAAGGTTCTATTTATAAGTTTTTGTAGCAATTTATTAGACTACTTGATCAATGTATAATTTGGTCACGAAATAGTCTAATTTATTAATAATTACATCATTGCAGATTTGCAAACCAGGATGCTTTGCATCCAGTTCAGGCATAGCCCTCACAATCAGCACGTTGTGCCTCAGCCTTGGTGGAAAAAACATTCACAAACCAATTGAAAGCCAGCAACCACAACAATGTACATGACTTTGAAAGAAAGAAAAAGAGCCACCAGAGCATACAACACAACCTAGCAAAGTCATAGTCATAGTTATATCTACCTAGCAGATATCTAATCTAGTCATAGTAGATACATAGTCTAGTCATAGTAGATACATAGTCTAATCATAGTAGATACATAACCTAGTTGTAGTAGATACTGTATTATATTAATTTTCTGCCACTATGCTCTTACAAGTAAAACCCGAAATATTAATATAAAATTTTTGTTGATTGACATAATCTTTTCTTATGGCGCGACTTATTGAGAGTAAAAAATGCATGTGACTATCAGATGACTTATTAGATACAATTTGATTTGATGCGCATTCTCATAATAAAATTTTTCATCTTTTTTTTTATTATTATAAACTGAATTCGACGTAAAAAACCCTCCTCAAATTATGGAGAATGAAAAGATTTTATTATCTCAATATTAAAAGTAAGTTTTCTCTTTTCATCAATATTGTTGTTTATGAATAAAAAATGATGAAAAGTAATTAGGTATATATGAATTGTTGTTGTTATCATTATTATAATAATGATTAATTTAAATTCTTCACTTTGATCTGATCTTTTTAAAACTTTATTATATTATTATATTATTATTATCAAAGTTGAATTAATCAATTAACTAATTGAATTCTTTACAAACTCCACATTCAGATGTTAGAAAATTGATGTGCCTGTAAAATATTAAAATATATTTTTTGAATAAAAAACTTTATTTCAAAATTTATTTGCTCCCAAGTACGTATATACCAATGATGGAAAAAATTAATCCCAATAATACAAATGATTATAAATAATATGAATAATATAAATATCATTATTATAATTTCTTACAATATCCAAAAAACAACAAATTTAAATTAATTAAATATCAAACGATGAATATATTATTGCCGAAAATGCTTGTAATTCTTTACAATCCCTAATAATCTAATTAAATAAAATAAAATTAAAATAAATTATCAATCATCACCAATCAATCAATAAATCAATGAAATAAAATAACAAACAAACCTCTAGGAATTCGTTCGTTCTATCATCAAGTATGTAATGTGCTTCTCTTGCAATATCAGGTAATAATTTTACAAGAGACACACGTTTCTCAATTATTTCACCATCAAGGCTTCCACCACCCTGAACTATAAAATCTGTATACAAATGATTCTGCATCAAATTAAAGGCTGTAGTCAAACAAGTTGTTTGAACTATATTAAAATCTTGACTATTTCATATATAATTTTCAAAAAAAAAAAATCCATTAATTAATTGTATTTAATAATAATTCTAATTTATTGACAAAATATTATTATTATTAATACCTATCCAAAAAATCTTTGGTTTCATCTAACAATTTTCTAAGTTCAGGTTCAATTTTAACTTCAAATGCATTATCTCCACCCTTATCAAGTACTTTAAATTCATCTTCTAAATTTTGGGGCATCATAATATTAGTATACCTAAAATTTAAAAAAAATCAAAAGTTATTATTATTATTTATTTATTTAATTTTTTTAAAAAATTTATACCATGCGCTTTGATTATCGCTTTCATTTCTTTCCACATGAGATCTAATTTCAGTAACAATCCATACAAAATCTTTGTATGAAAGTTCATCTTTCAATGATATACTATATATATATAATAATTATTGTTATTTTAATAATTTCAATAAATTATTAAAATTGATTAATCAATTCATACATACTTGGACAATACTGATTCAACAGAAGATTTAACACGTTCAACAATTTCCCTGTATCCAATATTTAGAAACCACCAACTAAAAGTCAAATACTTTTTTATTATTATGGGACTCAATATAGATTCAGAAGAAAATCTGTTCAATTGTTCCGTGTCACGTTCTGCTAGAGATACAACAGAACATATATAATTATATCTTCCCAATAGATTTAAATTTATATGAATAATGAGCATAAAAAGTGTTTCTAGATAAATAGCAGCTATAGTACGTATAAAACCTATTGACGTTGTCATTATTTATAATAAAATTAATATCATTCTTATTAAATAATATAAACAATATATGAGCAATACATATAAATGAGAAAACGTACTTTTATTTTTTACTTCAGTCCATAGTTCAATTTTTGTTTTTCTATCAAAAATTAATTGAGATGATGATGGCTGAACGTTAATAACATTTGTTGTGACTGGCTCTTCACTACTAGAAAAATTTGGATTACTACTACTATCATGATATTCATGATCACCAAAACCACTATTACCATCATTAGAATCACTGTGTTCTTCTTCTGTGGGAGAATTACTGTTATTAGTTTCATCAGTTGAAGATGATGATAACGATAAAGAAGTTGATGAGGAGGATGGTAGTGACAATATTGATGATGTTGAAATCGAACTTTCTAAATTATTTTCATGACCATTCATATTTGGTGCGGATAAAAATCTATTTGAATCTTCTTCGCCTCCATTCTCAGAATCACTTGAAGAATTGCTGTTATTAGCATCGCCATTACTATTATTATCATTGTCACTATTGCCATTACTACCGTTACTACTACTACTATGATCATCATCATGAACACTTGGATTATTAATCAAAACCATCGAAGATTCAGAGGAACTCCCATCATTCCTATCAATTAACACAATAGAAGAACCAGGTGACATCGTTGGTGTCGATATAGCTGTTGAACCACTTGATGATGTAGAGCTACTATTCTTTGCTCTTTGTAAATTTGATATAATTGATTCTACATCAAATTCAGTTAACAAACTCTCATTTATACTTGGTAAATGTGCAAATACCGTATCAATACAATCAATTTGTCTTTGTTGAAAACGACGTCTCATACTATAACGAAACCGTTTTAGGAAAAAATTTATTTTATTTTGTTTTTATTTATGTAATAAATAAAAAGAAAAGAAATCATAATCACTTTTCTCTTGCGGTTCGCTCTATGGTGGTTCTTTCTTTAATTTCATCGAATTTCCATTTTATCAATTTACCAAGAAAATAAACACCGCCAGTTAATCCTGTTGCTGTTGCTATGAACTTTCTACGTTTATTCAAGTATTGATAAATTTTTATAAACATTGTTCTATTATTTTTGATATTCAAATTTTTTTTATCTCTGATTTTATTTATTTGATTGATGTACAAATAATCAAGTGATTTCTGATCTGTGATGCTTTTAAACATTAACCACCATTAACACCATGATATCTCTTCAAATTAATTGAATGTAAATATTATGAAAATAAATAAGTAAATGCCAAGAAGTATTCAATTACCTCGGTTGAGAATAGGCATCATTTAAATAGAAGTAGAAGTAGTACGTTCCAATGGGTGATTATCACTGTAATAATGAACCATTCAAAATTACCGAACATTGATTGAAATTGTTAAATGAAATAACAGCTGAATTTTGTTACGCTATTCATAAAAAGTTTGAAACCAACAATATCAAAAAGATCTGGATCATAAAAATCAATTCATATGACATTATGCCAAATGCTTACGAAAGAGGAAAATCTCTGGGAGCTTTTTTGAAGCTGCAGAAAATTACTAAAGAGTTGCAGATTGGGTTTCTTAAGAAATTAAAAGGAAAAATCAATGAAATACAGTCAAACCTTGTTATAACAGACACATAAATTTGATTATTATTATATTTTTATATTATTCATTACACAAGTGTGTTTTATTCTTAAAGAAAAAATGTTTAATTAATTAGTTTACATTTATATATATATATATATAGATATGGACTGGTGGGATAGAGGCATCAAAAGAGGAGAAAGAGGCAGAGGCAGAGATCGTAAACATGATTATGATAAAGAAAAGTCAAAAGATAGGGCAAGGAAAGAATTTTTTTCTATTAATACTATTTTTATTATTACAATTTTGATATAATTATGGTTTCGATAGTAATGATTTTTATTTTAATTTGCAAATTAAATTATAAATATTTTAATTTTATAAATAAACATAATAATAGTAATTTATCGTTTCTGGAGCAAAAAGAAACGGTATGCAAATTTTAAGATGCTGTTATTTTGTTGTTCCCATTATTCTCCTTTTGGCAATTTGTCTAGTATTTAATCTTTGAACTTTCTTGGCACCGTCATCTTCACGTTTTACTTGAGCAACTTTTTCTGTAACAATAATTTCAATATGACATTAATTTGCAAATTAAATTATAAATATTTTAATTTTATAAATAAACATAATAATAGTAATTTATCGTTTCTGGAGCAAAAAGAAACGGTATGCAAATTTTAAGATGCTGTTATTTTGTTGTTCCCATTATTCTCCTTTTGGCAATTTGTCTAGTATTTAATCTTTGAACTTTCTTGGCACCGTCATCTTCACGTTTTACTTGAGCAACTTTTTCTGTAACAATAATTTCAATATGACATGGATTACTCATATAAGGATTTATACGCTAAATAATTATAATATTTTTTATAAAATATCGAATAATTTTAGATAGTAATAATAGTAGTGATAAATAGTAATGGTAATAACAATATATATAAGCGATCACTTACGCCGTGAGCTCTATAAGTTCTTCGTCTTTGTTTGGGAGCTTGGTTTACTTGAATATGAGTAATAACTAAGTTATCAATATCTAATTGTTTAATCTAAACAAATGATTATAATAATAATAAATAATAAACGTTTGACTAAACCATCAATTAAATTAAGATGTTAATTGATCAAATCAGCGTACTAACCTCTGCATTGCTTTGTGCATTTCTCAAAAGCCCAAGTAAAAATTCGGCACTTTTTTGTGGCCAACGTCCTATAAATAGTAAAACATTACATTGTTATTAACTTGAATATATCAAAATATTGAAGATGAATAAAAATCAAAATAACAATTCCACTGACTCAACCTTGAGTGGCACCAAAAGCTTTAACTTGAGCACATCGGCCGACACCACCATTAAACCCTCTAAAAGGAACAGCTTGTTTATGTTCTTTTACGTCTTCCAAATATCTAATTGCATTAAGTAATTTTCTACCAGAAATTGCTTTTGCAGTTTCTCGAGTGTTTTTAAAGTGAACACGCAAATAAGAACCACGAGTTTTAACAGCTATATCAAGAAAATTTAATTCAATTTAATTTAATCCAACTGATTATAAAAAGAGCCATTTCCTACAATGATACATATATATAATTAAAAGCACATACTCTTGTCGATGTTGGATGGAGTAACGGAGTATCTCACCATATTGAACAATCACCTTTAAATTTTCTAATTTTTTTTTTAAAAGAAAAGATTTCAAAAAAAATTTTGGAAATCAAAATAATGATGATTGGCTGTAAATTATTTTTCTGCCGTAGTAATTATTGGAAAAATTATAGGGAATCAACTCTTACAAAGAGTATCAAAAGAACCAAATGAACCGGAAACAATGAAAATAGTGAAACAGTATAACAATGCAAAATACAAAAACTTGGCCTGGACAATAGAAAAGTGAAAGAGCACAATTTATTGTCCAGGTCCCATAAGTCTGTCTAGTTTTGGATCTCTTTGGATTGTGGATTGGGTATGAATTTCTAACAGTACCCATAGCTTTTCTCTTGTGGTTTTCTTTTCTCTTAATAAAATATGAACATTCGAGCCGATATCCTTTTGAGTTCCTTTAATTCCTGTTTCTTTCGATCGTTGAATGATCTAATCTTTGATTTACGAACTCTTCAACTAAATCCTTGCTTCTTTTGGATCCAAGTTTTGTTTAATTATCCACTAGTTTCTTGATATTCTTTTGAAAAGAACTGCATTGTTTGTAGTTTCTAGTTGGTAAGTTGGTAAGTTTCTATGATATTTTCATAATCTTGAGAACATGAAAATTTTTCAGTTATCGAAAACATTTGCATTAGAAAATTGTAAAATACCATTAGACAATTATAACAAACTCACACATAATTATAAAGATCCAACGAATGATAATCATAATAATCTAAATATTAAAGTTGAATAATTGTTATAAGAAGTTAAAATCAATCACAACACAACAATAGACAAATGAACTTTTTTTTTCAGAGAAATAAAAGATTGTATAACAGCAGTGACAGTGATGATTATAAATTCATGACTCATCATTCTAATAATAATTAAATATAGGTGATAATAGTGATAAGATATATTGACATGGTTTAGGACGCGGGACCTGGGAATGTTACTTATTTCTACGAATTTAAAGTTTCTACTACGGTGGTGGTTTAATAATTGAGCGTGGGGAGGAAAAAAAAGCTGAAGAAAGAATTCAACTTTCTCAAGGTTTGGCAAATAAACAATAATTTCTTCCTGTAAAATTACAAAAAAAAATGATCAATCTCCAGCAGATGGGTTAAAAGACATCACTGGATTGGCTGATGATGTGAAAGTTACTAAATAATGAATGATTCAACAATCAAAAAGTATCGCGTAAATCTAAACGCTGCGTGCGAAATTTCATTGAATCAAATAATTAAAATGAAATTATTCATTATAAGAGTTGAATTAGAAATTAATGACCAAAATTCTCTGTCTTGAACCAGGTGAAAAGAATGCAAGTAATTAGTTATTTCATCATTATTGATAGACGCAAGATTATTAAGAATCAAGGTTCATCACAACAGATAACCTTTTTAATTTATTTTTTTCCAATTGAAGCTATAAAATTTGTGAAATAAAAACGAATTAAAAAATCATTAATTAATGAAAGATAAATAAATTCAACAAAGAATGTTCCTTTATACTTGCAGAAAAATAAAGATATATTTCAACAAGAATAATGAATAAGTAAATTTAAAAATTTGGGCATGTAAATGATTTATTTTCTAGTAGTAATAAAATGTGTCTTATTGTTATTATTGGAAGTATAATATAAAATGGATCTTAAGAAGAATAAAAATAAAAATAGCTCTTAAACAAAAAAAAAATATATATTTTTTTAAAAAAACTCTATAATTAATCATTTATTTATTTATTTATCTATAAATAAATAAATAATGGAATATCAAAAAAAAATCTAAAATGAAAATGACTCTATTTATTTTTTAATTTTATCATGAAAAATTGAAATAAATTATATGAATACTAATACTAATATTAGCAATAATATTAGCAATAATAATAATGACGATTTTATCTAGATTAGAACTTGCTCTCCTTTGATGTATTGTATATTTATATATCATTATTAATTACTATCCCTTATAAAATGATTACTACTATTGTTGCTATTGTTATTATTAAAATTATGTATTGATTTTCTAGCTTTGTGAAAAATTATGTCTATATATAAAGTCCAAATATATATATACATATATATACATATATGTTTATATAAAATATACGTAAATTATTTTAAAAAGAATTTATTTATCGATAAAGTAACAAAGTTTTAAGATTTAGCAGTACGTCTACTGCGAGTATTAGTAGGTTTTGGTGCAGTGATTATTTGTGTAGTTTTGGTTCCATTTGTAGGATCACTGTTGCCGCCACCACCACGTTTAGACCTTTGTCTTCTGGTTAGAGAGTCATCCTGTTCCTCAATTGCTTCTACATTGTCACCTGGAGGACTAAAGACATCTTCTTGAGCTTTTCTAGCATCACCGCCACCACGAGTTCTTTTTGAAGTTGACGCATTCTCCCCATTTATTGTTTCACTTTCATCTGAATAATCATCATTGTTACTTTCAGATAATGTTCGCTTTTTTGAATTATTGCTATTCCCAGGGACATTTGCGGAAGAAACTTCTAGCATATTTGAAGAAGCTGTTGTTTTATCAACTGGTACTACCTCTTGCATTGAATATAATTGAGGATCTAATATTTGAGAGGGATTAGTAGTGCTTGTATTTGTTTCAGAAGTTCCTCCTCCAATAACAGAGGTAGACATTATTTGTTGTGCTGAAATTTGAGTGGAAGAAGAACTTTTCTTTTCTTGTTTATTATTAAGATTGCTTGAACTTTCACCATTGTCTTCGTTTGATGATGTTGAAATTGGTGATTCAACATGACCATGTGTTGCTCTATATGCACGAAGTTCTTCGTCATATTTCTCTTTATCAGCAAAATAACGATCTTCATAAACCTTGTATAAATAAAAATAAATAAATATATATACTATACGTACACAATATAAATATAAATATAAATGTATATAATGTAAATATAAACAGATGAATGTAATATACACCTTTTTTTGCTCCCTGGAAAGCGCTTTCCATTTTTGTCCAATTAGGGTGACAATTTCTTTTTGGTTAGCTTTTGGATTAGCAAGCTTAGTTTCTGGACGAATCTCATTGCTAAATAAAATATACGCAGTGTTGGGTCTTTTTGGAGCATTAGGATCTTTTACTTGGTTTTTTTTAAATTTTCTTGTATGATTTCCAGTAGATTGTCCGTGGTGGTGGTGTATATGATGATGAAAACCAGTAGTACTGCTACTACTACCACCACCACCAATCGCCACATCACCAGGAATAATTCCTACATCCCTTGGAACAAGTAACTGAAACTCGTCACAAGCTTTTGCTGCATTTCTAAGAGCAGTGGAGACTTGAGTGAAGGCATCAACAAGCTTTAAAATTTATGTTTTTTTAGTATACCTTGTTAGATTATAAAAAAGGAAATTTTAATTTTATATTTTGAATTAGTAGTCACCATTTTCTTTTTATTGTTTAATTGTGCTAAAAGTTCAGGATCTATATTGTCTGCAGTGTTAGCGGCACTACTACTACTGGTTGTTTGGTTAGAGCGTGTGTCAGTTGGCATGTTTTAAATTTTTTTATCGGATTATAAAAAATTTGACTTTTAAAAATTTTTTTGTTTCAAGTTCTATAATACTAACATCCAACATTTCATAATATAATAAAGGCGGTGTTCCATTATTAGAATATGTGGTTTGTATCATGTCTGTTAAACTCTCTGTTGTTGTTCGCTTGATAATATTTTTTGGCGCGCCTGTTGCTGAAGTAAACCTTAATTTTAATGGTTCTGTATTTAGATAAGTTCCAACTTCTTCAGCAACCTATAAATATATACGCAAATGCGTGTTAATAAACAGAAGATCAATTAAACATTAGTGGCAGAAAAGAATATACTACGTACAGCATCATAAGTCATTTTTTTATTTAGAACTAATTCAAATTCTTTTGGATCACGATTTTTATGCTTTGGTTTAAATTGAATAACAATTCTTTGTGTTAAATATTGATAAAAATCTGGAATTGTGGCGATTCGATTAGCAGCTTTATGTTCTTGAATACTAAAAATTAAAAATTAAATTATATTATGTATAATATTTTAAATTAAAAAGAACCAATATTCCTTTATTTATTCCGTACTCTCTTTCTGTTAAAGTTCTTTGGTAACAAATTATATCTCCGTCCTGTATTTCAGATTGTTGAAATGTTGATTTTGGTTTCATTTCTTCTATCATATTTGGTTTAATTTCCTAACAATAACAATAACATATTATTATTTATTATAATAACTTAATTTTAACAAATTAAAAAATACTTACTTCATATACACTTAATGGAGTATTCGGTGGAAGATCCTTTTTTTCACATAGAAATGGGAAAATTTCACCAACTTTATCAGATTTTTGTATATATAGAGAACCTAGGCATCTAATTTTAGAAGGAAAATTAATATATATAACCAAGCAAATACAATCAAAAAAGTATCAATGGAATATATGCATACTCTAAAACTTGTGTATAAGGATCAAAAAATTTCAGAAATACTATTATAAAAGCATTTCCATCTGTTCCAGGGAACCACTAATATAATAGATCAAAGTGAGAAAATAATCGTATTAAAGTATGTTTAAATGAACAACCTAGGAAAAATTTATTTTTTTTAAATTAATTTACTTTGCCATTTAAAGTTTTATCTGCAATCTCCATGTATAATCTCAATTCATGCATACGTGGTGCAAATTTAACACAAATGTCTTCCATCGCTAATATATAATTATAAAAAATAATAAATACGCAAATAATAGAAGAAAATTATAAAAGAAAATAAAATAAGAAATTGAAATCTTACTTAAATTATGATGAACAGGTGGTATTGGTGCATCAGGTCTGACAGTTTTATTTTGCCTGTTGACAAGAGCCCAAAAACGAATTTGATCAGGTGATTTGTCATACTCAGCTGCCACCTTCTCTTTAAAATCATTGAATGTACTCGTTTTAAGAACTTTTAATGGTTGAAGATTTGATAAAGGGTATTGTCGTTCGTCAAAATTGGCAAGATCAAATCCTTGATGTGCTTTGAAAGTATCTTCAGTAACAAGCTTTTTAAAAAAAATTTTTTTTGATGAATTATACGAATAACTCATACATAGTTTCTAAATAAAACTATTTTATCAATATCGGATTAAAAAAAAAATACGTATATACCCTAACTTGTGCATATAAATGCCTTTCCTCGGCTTCTTTTTTCTTTTGTTCATAAAATCTTTTTTCTTCTTCAAGACGTCTTTCTATTTGATTTTCGAAAGTATTATCACTATAATAACATCCTGTTTCTTTTTTTTGTTATCAGCGTTATATTTTAAAAAAACTTACGTAAATGTTCTGGTATATCTTCAGGAATTACAGGTGACAGTATGTTATCAAGGTCAGATTCACGAATATATACCAACATATAAGCATTTGTGAAGCGTTTGATATTTCTTGAACCAGGTCTTAGATTATGAAGTGGACTATTGTTGGTACTCTCTCCACCATAATTGTCCTCTAATACTTCTTTATCTGTCACGGGCGTTACTCTATCATCATCAAATTTTAACCTGTATTATGTAATATATAAATAATTATTTGTTATTTATCATTTATTAGGAAAAATTCTTATTCCAAATTATACATTATACAATATGTATATGCAATTTAAGACAAACCATCTTCCATCTTTTTCAGGTTTTAATAATGCAAAATAATGTCCTCCATGTAAATCACCACTATGAACAAGTACACTATTATGTTAAAATATATTTTTTACATTAGTTTATATTGCGTGTACATATATATATATGTATATATATATTCTATCAAATAAAGTTTGATATTTATTCATATATAAGTAAGTATTTATGAGGCTTTGACCTATCTGCATCAGAAGATAAAAATTCTTCTAAATCAATTTCCATTGGAAACTCATGGCGATCATTAATCTAATAAATTCGATAATGATAATATTATAATATATACAACTGGAAAATCATACATAAAAGTCGACACTTTTTCTACCTTGACCATGGCATCTCTTTGAATATCATACTCAAATCTTTTTAATTGTAAATGAAGTACGGGAGGAAAACTTTCAAATATTACACCTTTCTTGGCTTCCT